ACGTACTTTATTCACCATGCTTGGTTAGCCGGAAAAACAACAACCGCCTTTAACTCTTAGCGCTCATGCCCATGTTCTTTACAGATAGTGCCACCTTGTGGTATGGCATGAAACTACGTTAACTTACAGCAACAGCTGCTTATCATTACATACTTAATATTCTTAACATTTTAACAGATACTCTGACCCATAACTATCGTAAAACGCTACGACCGGAAGTAGACACCATTCGCACATGCGGGGTACGGATCGGTTTTCCGGTACGGATCGGGTAGTGACAGTAGTGACAGACACAGCCTTTAAATTGGGACAGCCTTCGTCGCGTCGCTGTGACGTAATCGGCCTTAAAATGCGGCCTTTAAGGCTGCAGACCCTGAATTGGGGATACAGCCAGAGATGCAATCCCTCACACTTACAGCACCATCAGCAGCCTTAACACGCAGTTGAATGTGTGCACCTGATAAAGTGGCTGGTGAATGTCTGTCATGTTATTGTGCAAAACCTGCGCACTCTAAAACAAAAAAACAGAGTTGGAACAATTCTAACAAGATTGAAAGTCAATGTTTGCTGTGACCGTCTTTATTCCTCAACACATCCTGTCGTAGATGCGCTTTCTTGTGATTTCTTTAAGTAGTCTTCAGAATTAATTCTTAAGGCTTGTGGAAGGACATTCAGACCTCTGCAAGTTGTTCCATCCTGTCAAGATGATCTCATACTTCTTCAATACTGTTGAGGTCCAGACTCTGAGGAGGTCAAACCCTGATGCTTTCCAGATGGATCAAAACGTGGTACTTTTCTGTGTTTGTAATTCCATCAATTTTGACAAAATCTCCAAGACCACAGGCTGAAACCACGACAGAGGCTCCATTGTGTTTACAGATGGCTGTAGACGCTGTCATACGTCTATTGTGCCTCGTCTGTAAATACTGACAAAGATTAAACCAAATATTTAAAATTTGGATTCTTCACTCCATCAGATCTTTTGCCACAGATTTTCAGTCCAGTTCTTGTGTAATTTGGAATATCTCTGACTTTTTGCCCACTTTCCTTAAGAAGAGCCTCTTCACAGCTGCTCATCTACAAGAGCGTTCGTGTCGAGGCTTCAGTGAGCAGTAGATGGACCGGCTGAAGGTCCAGATCTCAGGTCTTCTGCCAAGTCTTTGCTGGATTGTCTTTTTCCCTTAAAACATGGCATCTGCTGTCAGGGTTTTTGTTTTGTTTTTTCCCCTCCACTTTTTTTAGTTTGTAATTTTAAGGACAGACTGCATGCACACCATGTTTTCATCTAAAAACTCTGGGAAATCCTTGTTGGTACAAAATTACAATTTCGTGCTTGTCAGAGTTATCTTTGGCATCTTTTGTGGTTGATCTGAAAAAATGGGAACAAATTACTGTTTATGTGACAGGCTGCTAG